TTTTCAGTTTAAAAGAAGAGCATTAATTATGTATATTATAATATTTATTTATAATGTCTTTACTGTCAATTTTGCTCAATTTATTGCATTGTTGCTGAATAAAAATATTTTGAAACTTTTGAACTGTGTAGCTCAATATATTCAAACTATTTCACGCCAAGTAAATTCAAAATGTTTAAATGCAAGAATTTTAACACCATAAAAATCTGTTACATGAAAATGTCTTGTACTTCAAGGAATAATTGTGAAATGTAACAGTTAATGATGTGTTTATTAGGAAACAGTTTAAAAAGTTCAGTTTTTAAAACAAAGTTCAGTTTAAAAAAAAGTTCAGCTCAGGAACTAGTTTTAAAACATCCCAATATTCAAAGCTGTGCTTAGTTTTAGATCATTAGCAAAATTATTGCGAATATATTGCAAAAATTCAATATCATTCACCCCACAGCCAGATACTACAAGATGATTTAGCCATGTTTTCTTTGACAAACAGCACAGATCATTGCGTGCTTGCAGAAAACGAAATTATACTAAAATATAGTCACACAAATCATATACTTATGAGCCAGGCAACATTTCTCAATGAAACTGCACCGCTCACAAAAACATGAAGACATACCATCAAGCTATCAAAAAATAGATTTTTTTTAAAGACGATATAAAATTAAGCAACCTTTCTAAACCGTTAGCAATCAAAAAACATGAAGATGTATTGAGAATTTGATGTTTCAGTGACTTGATGGAAGAAATAGGCTATTTCACCAAGAAAAAAAAAATAGGCCTTCCATATAAACTTAAATAAATTTCCACTGAAATAAAGTAGTTAGTAGTCATCACAACATTTGCAAAAAGTTGCAACAGAGGTTTTGTAAGCTAATTTAAATGGTCACTCCATCATTCATACAATTTGATTATACTGTATTATTTGCAGATTTTAATAAAGTTACAGATTAAGTGGATTTTATTGGTGTTACTTAATCGTCAAAGCCAATTTTGATTCTTGCATGGTGAGCGTTAATTTTGAACACTGGTTTATCATCTTTCCCAACCACCCGTCTAGACTCTCAACCTATTTATTGGTCAATACATACCCATAATGCCCCACTACATTCAATCTGTAGCTCTCATGTCCTGGATCAGGGAAGCTCACTCAAATTCTTTTTCCCCACATACAACCATCTTATATTCTCTCTCTCACACTCCGTTAGGTGAATTCTTCCTCACTTTCTTTACTTTTTACCTCTGGCAAATGCAGAGATTCAGGCCAACAGGCTGAGAGAATCTCTCCACAATAACATTTAAACTTCACCCAAGTTCTCTGCATCTCCCGCCCCTCTCCCTTCATCTCTCCATCTGCATAGATCCTCATCCCTCTTAAGTGGAAACATTCTTCCAACATCACAGGACGTCCATGTCAGTCTTTGAAGCCGAGCGCCAACCAGTTTTCTAAAGGTAATGGAGGAGCATCCTTATCAGAGAGATCCAGCTCTCTTTTGATACAGCCAAGACCCTGTGGCTGGATGGAAGAACAAAGATTTCACCCAGGCATGGCACATAAGAGGATGCATATAGACCATACAGGGTTGTCTAGTCAAAGAGCTGGTGGAGTGTGGGTATAACTGGATGATTATACCGTGTGGTTTGTGGGCTAGATGTATCCTTGGGGCATATCTATGTATATATACACATCTAGCCTGCAAGATCTCGAACAGAGACCCTCAGAGACCCCGAGATAACCGCACAAACAGACAGCACGAGTTGCATCTGTGAGATATTTGGACAGACGTAAGGCTTGCAGCTCAACATTGACTGGGCACAGAAAGCTGATATCAATATTTGTTCAATTATTCATCCACAAACAAATCATTTCTATACAGCCTCAAAGGTAAAAGCTTCCGTCAGCAACATCTCAGACAATTTCACACCTCCACGATATCACCATATGCAGGTACACACTTCAAAAGGACGCAGCTACAGAGTGTGTGTGGGACGTGTTTGTGGTGGTCAGTGTTCGATTTACACCAGAGCTTTCGGCAACGTCCAATATTTGGAAGAAGAGCCCGTCATCCCTTGTGGTCGTTCCAGGCGTTTACACTTAACCAGTCAGCAAAAAGTACTCATCATGGGCACATAGCAGTCCCAAAGGGGGACGCCTGTGAGCACCCTCCTGAATCATGAAATGAGGCCACATATACTACTGTATGTCATTTAGGACAAAGCCCAGGACTTAGAAAGTAGCCTGTACTGATATTTAGGGCTGCAACAACTAATCGATAAAATCGATAATAATCGATAATGAAAATGATCGACAATGAATGTCATTATCGATTAGTCGCGTCTGCCCACTGCACACGGAAAACTTCCGCCAGTCACGTCAAATTACAGCAGTGAATAACGCATTTCTATGGACAAAATACATCTAAAAATAGCAGATCCAAGCTGCCCGAAACATGAGAATGCTCGTCCTGTCAGGCGCTTTGACAGTTGCATGAGATGTTTAATGTGTGAGATATGTTTCCTCAGCGCATAATCTGCATTTTACGGTTATATCTAGGGCTGCACGATTAATCGAAATTAAATCGCAATCGCGATTATCGCAATTTGGCAAAAGTTGCGATTGTCATGCGCATCTTGTCAGGGAAGCACGGTTCTGTGATCAGTAGTAAATCTCCATCCGAAAGCCAGAGGGCGCTCTCATGCGGAAACTCCAAATACCCCTGCTGAAGAAATCCAGGAAATCCCTATAGTGGTTGCTGAATGACCAGAAGATTTAACTGCTTTCATTGATTCAACGTGACTAATAAACACACGACTATGACAATATATGGTTTATCTGAGTTCATCTTATTATAATTTTTATTATAATAAAGTATATATTAATGCAATGCTAATTGACATAGCCTTCATCACTGCTTAGAATACTATGAAATATATTGCGTGCCTTATTCTGTGTAAGAAGCCACATCATCTCACATAAGGATTTACTTCAAACACTCGACTGACGTTATGAAGTGAGTTTGGAGTAAAAACATGTTATTAAGTGTGGTATTTTCATGTGCTTTCAGATGGAGCAGCATTTACTACACAGAGCCTTAGTTCACTGACAAGCTACGCAAACAGCTTTCATAATCGCAGAACGATTTCTTTGATTTCATAATCGCGCAATTAAAATGTCTGTGATTATGAACGCGGTTTTGCGTAACTACGGCTCCGTGTAGTAAATGCTGCTCCATCTGAAAGCACATGATGGAGATTTACTACTGATCACAGAACCGGCTTTACTGACTAGATGCGCATGACAATCACATTTGATTAATCGTGCAGCCCTAGTTATATCTTTTCTGTAAATGTTACATATTCACGCTACATTTTCTATTTTGCATGAAGGTTCATCCTGACAGTCTGCGTTAAACTTCAGACTTCACTGAACGAGCACCGGAGTGCACATACACGTCAAACAGAGAGAAAGCAGTAAAGAGGGAGAAAATTTATATTCGGAGCAAATAATATTTATTTTGCTGATATATCTGTTATTGGACGTTAAATTTAGGTTTAAAAGTCAACATGTATTTCAAGTATTTTATGATAGTAACTGTAAAGGGATGACAGAGTGTGATTGAATATAAATGTAAGGCGTTTCTTACATTTACAGAATAAAGAAATGACAGTAACTGGTTACTGTGTTCAGAGTGAATGTGTGTGTTCCTGCAGAACATTCCTCTTATCTGTTAACACTGAGTTTGTGTTTTTCTTTACTATCTTCATCATTATTATTTTCACTTTTAATATAGGGAATTAAACTGTCCTTTGTCCATTTGTCTGTTTAAACTGTCCATTTAAACTGTGCTTTATAACTCTTTTACACATAATGTATAGCATAGAGATACAGGTATATTCACCATACAGTATGTTTTCATAGCATTCAGCTGGCACATTTGTTTGAAGGACAGTATTGGGCAGGATGTGGAATAGTGCGGTTTGTCAATTAAAAAAAATATATGCTTTTTAAAATCCGATTAATCGAAAAATAATCGGCCAACTAATCGATTATTAAAAATAATCGTTAGTTGCAGCCCTACTGATATTCACAAAAAACATCAAGCTAACATTAAAAGAATTTGATATTCCAAGTGATGTCATTTTTTAAAATTGCTACAATTATGATACCATTAAGAGTTTTTAATATTTGGAGTCTCCGCTAAACTAGTATTAAACTACTACTAAACTACAACTATGAAACTACACTCATAATTTCTCCCAGCCTGCACATAACAATAACACCACCATGAAAAGCCATATGTTATAAAAATAGAATAAATATAGAAGAATACCGAACATGGTCATATACAAGGCCCTGAGGGAGAAAAAAAACTATTAATTATGTATTTTTAAGGATGTCAAAGTTATCGTGCACTTAAGCTATTAATGAAATATGTTTAACTTCATGATTTCATGATGTTCACCAAATTTGATTAAATTAATAAATAGGAAATTAGGTTTCTGAATGAAGGACTGATCAGAAATTTAGTCAGAAATCACAAGGTTAATTGCAATTGCTTTATTCTACTGATAGTAGTAGGTATAACAGTAAGATAAATAAATCTGCATATCATTTTGTTTAAAAAATAACTATATTATTACACTATACTGTCATAAATATAAATTAAGTTATATACTGTAAGTTTAAAAACCCCAACTCAGTATCAACACAATTCATCATATTTTTGTTGTTGGAATAGTTTGTGATGATGGGCTATACCATATTTGAATACTGAATTTAATTACTTCAGCTATAATAAAATCTGCAAAATATATACATTTACATGCACAATTCCACAGACTGCTGACGACAGATGGCTAATGTCCACTGCAGTCTCCTTCAAATAACAGTCAGAAAAAAATAATAATAATAAAAACAAATCTCTTAATGTTTTCTTCTCTGGAAACATTGCTGAGGGGAGATGTGCGATAGCCCAGCTGTTGAATGTAGGATGTTAACCTACCTCCAGTCTTCCCGTGTCAGGCTGGAAGCCACGTGCCGGGTCCTCTGTGGTCACACGGCACTGGATGGCATAGCCATTGATCCGTATCTTGTCCTGTTTCAAGCCCAGCTCTGGCAGGCTGCGACCTTCACACACTCTCAGCTGAGAGTGTACCAGATCCACACTGAATGAGAGAGAGAGAGAGAGAAACAGAGACAGTGGTTATATAGCATTTGGTAAACAACAAAAACAAACTCTACCAGGGGCCCCACAGCCACAAAGATCACATCCAACACAGACACTTTATCACTCCAGACGAGTACACGTTATCAGGCCAGACCCGTTCAGTGGTCTGGAATCACAACAGATTCACTCAAACCATTTTCAGCCGCTTGACATTCCTGCAGGTGCAACACGTCGAGGCAACATTCACACCAGTGAGGCGAGAAAGCGTGAGATGCCTGCTTGCTCCAATAACTTCTATTAGACAGGCTTGACAACTAGCAATCCGCTTCATAACGCTGCACTCGTTTGACAAGGAGTGGGATGAGGGGATTGTAGAAAGGAAACGAGCGAGTCACTCAGCGACATACAAACAGGAAATGCCTGCTAGATTCATGGCTAACAGCTAGCGCCTGATCCACTCCGGCCTCAATAGCTTCACATTTAAATCACTCCCTCAGCTCAATTGAATGAACCAGGCCTTTCCTGGGCTGATTGGCTACATTTGGCTGAATCTGCCATCTTATTGGATAAGTGCTTTCCCCAGTGTAAAGTTGGATTTATTAAGAGCCATATAAATCACACTGATATATTTACTCACCCTAGATTCACCGAACTCATTCCTCATGTCCCACAATTCCTCATCCTCATATATCAGGTAAATTTTATTCTTACAGGCATTGACTCTAATGGGGGAAAAGATGCATATACTAGCAAACAGAAACGCTACGAACCTGCAGCCTTTTGTTGGGAATCAATGTCGGCATGTAAGGGAAACGCTATTTATTCCACATTACTAACGCTTGTTTCACCATATATCAGAAGGAATAAAAGACATTTAAATAGGCTAAAACTTCACAATTCAACCTCTTTAAGATGAATGAATAATCAAAAGTGTTACAAAGTGTTAGCGTGTGCGCGAGACAAAACGTGAAAGCACCAGTGGGTCAGAAAAAAATTTTAACCAATAAAAGAAGAGCGAGATAGTATTTGCTTTCATGCTGTGCATCAATAATTGATGCTACAAAGTGTCTGCCTTTTTTATCTCCAGCATGGAGGCATTTAGAAAATGTAGGATTTCACGAAGGCCGACATATATAACCACACAGCATGCTTTTGATAACACTGCAACAATACATTTATATTCACATACACACATGGTGAAGGCAAAGGCAATATGTTTGCACAGCTCTCAACATTATCTGGCTAGGCCTCATTAATTTTTTAACAATGGTACAAACAGGCTCTGAATATTGCACGCATATGTCTTTATGACACTGGCGTCTAATGATAACATCTCTCACATGAACTCTGATCATAATAGCTGCAAGCTGAAATAATTACCAAATGAAACATCAAAATCAGCTTAATGGATTTTATCCCTATTATTTTCGTCATGTAAATACTCCAGCAGATCTGGAATTGTTACAATTACATTTATCAGATGATATTTGGGATCAGAGTGGCAAACAGTAAGATTGCAAGTTAAATCCAAACTAGGAGAAACAATTCTGCTTTTTTTTTTTAATGGACCCTGATCAAGACACTTAACCCATAAAAAATGTCCCTGCAATTACTGAACTGACAGGGCAAGTCAGTGTGAATGAGCTAAAATGTTTACAACATTAATTCTGCATTCAAAAGCTGTAAAAGTTGTTCTTAGTGATGCTATTTGAGTATTAATGTTAGGTAATCTTTCAGAAACCCACTGAACAAATTTAAAACTGATTCTTGAGTATTGGGTGAAAAGTGCAAAACTAAAGTTTGTGTACTTCAATGTATTTATTTTTGGATTCAGAGGTATTCACTTATGTTTTCATGCAAACTCTATTCACTCACAAAATGTTTCCTTATTTGCCCATCACACAGTATGTCAACACAATCTGATATATAAATAACGATATATAAATATATATAAATATATAAATAACTGTCATATCAAATATTTAATATAAACAGAAATCTAACACTGAATTTAAAATAAGAATGAATTGAGGATACAGAATGAGACTTATCTGACGTTTTTGACAAAAAAAAATATACAGCTTTGAAACCTTATAAAAGAAGTTTATTTGTAAAATGAATCTCTCTGTATTGTCAGAAAGAAATCTTTCTTTTAAAGAAACAAACACACTTAAATTTTCCTTCACTACTGTGACATACATCTAAATTTCTCAAACAAGAAAACAAAAAATGTTGGGACGGACTTGATTTTGTCCATTTTTGATTTGCACGTATAATGTCTAAGTTTCATTCATTTATGATAAACACTGCAATATTCCATTTTTTTTTTTAATGACAAATTAAGCCTATAACTAAGGAGTTTGTAAGCCTTCATTTAACAAAAAACAGCTCATAAAAGTTGTTTATTCACAATGTTGTCTCAAGACCCAAGAGTGTATGATCAATGTATAATCTATTTAGCAGTTTGGCTTTTCAGAGCTGGACAGGAAGAATAATCTGCAGTAGTGAAAACAGATTGTGGGATTCAATGTACTCATAAAATCACAGCTATAAGGGTCCGCTGACCCAGTCTCAAGGGCACAATGTTCACTTCCACGCTCCCTTACCTCACTCACTCAAGCTTCTCCTGACTATATGCATCTATACCATTCCCATAGCAATACTTACACCAAGCAATCCAGGTCCGCAAAACTACATTGACTTCTGTAATAATGTGAAACAATAACTTAAAAGGGATTACTGCACTATTATAAGAACAAGCTTTGATTCAGCAAACATGCATCGCCTACCAAACTTACCAAAATATACAATATCCTGATCTCCCATAGATCCAGAAGAGAAGTTCATATTTGTTTCATAACTAACCTGTTTTAAAAGCATCAGAATGAGATGTGAATACACTAATAGTTTCATTTTAAGCTGTGACTCATCCGTCTGTGACTCTTTATTCCTGGCATGCATTAAAATCCCGGGCAACGGTGCATTATGTGGGATAATACAATAGACTATGGCTGATAAATGAACCATTTCTTTAAAGTGTGTCATCAGTGTCTTCAGTCTTCAAACTGTATGGCAATCTGAACTGTTTTTTAAGCCGAAGAGTTGAAGGGTGGTTGTGGTATGTCTTTTGCCATATAAGTTAGTATCATTAATATCAATATATTAGCCATATATTAGTCGTTGTCAGTTAAATGTGACCCTGGACCACAAAACCAGTCTTAAGTCGCTGGGGTATATTTGTAGCAATAGCCAAAAATACATTGTATGGGTCAAAATTATTGATTTTTCTTTTATGCCAAAAATCATTGAGATATGTTCCATGAAGATATTTTGTAATTCCAGATTTTCAAATAGTTGTACCTCGGCCAAATATTGTCCTAACCTAACAAACAATACATCAATGGAAAGCATATTTATTCAGCTTTCAGCTGATGTATAAATCTCAATTTCGAAAAATTGACCCTTATGACTGGTTTTGTGGTCCAGGGTCACAAATTAGCTTTAGTTTTCATGTTGTCACTGCTTTCTTCAAATTCCACCAAATATTTTCAATGAGATTTAAAGGGGTCATAGGATGCCCATTTTCCACAAGTTGATATGATTCTTTGGGACGTCACACAAACAGGCATCTGAGATCGGCTCGATTTGAGAAAGGGGAAAACATTTAACCAAATTTAAAAAAAAAAAAAAAACACTGGGTGGATTTTTATCATTATAGGGTGGTTGTGTACACACACTGCCAACACACATTTCAGTTCAAACAACTTGTAAAAGTGCATGTAGCATCCGATAACCCTTTTAAATATGAAGACTGAACAGGCCACTCAAGAACATTTTACGACCAATCCCTGAACAAAGCTTCAGTAATTTGCATGTATACTTTGGGATGGCTGTGCTGCAGGAAAGTCCACTGATCATCAAGCTTTAGTCTCTAAAACAAAGGCATCACAACCTTTGCCAAAACGACCCGATACTTCAAAGAATCCATGACATCAAGATTTCCACTTCCTGCAACAGCAAAACACCCCCATAACAAGACAGATCCACCTCCATGTTTGACCATAGGGATGGTGTTCTTCTGCTCATAAGCCTGGTCTTTTTTGCACCAGACTTACCATTGTTCCATGGGTCCAAAAAGTTTGGTCACATCACTCCATAAGCATTCTTCCAGAACTCCACAGGTATATTCAAATAAATGTCAGCATATTCAAGTCAGCCCTTTTATGTTCTTTTTGGTCAAGAACAACCTTCAGCTGTAGGTGTCCCGACATGAAGGCTATTCTTGTTTAGCGTTCTTCTAATAGTTTGCATTGAAATGTATTTTGCTCCTTTCATCAGATCATCTTGCAATTCTGTCAGTAATTGAGGGTTGCCTAGATCAAACATTATATAAAATTGTGATTTTTCTTCAAGTCCTCAAAGGGTTTCTGGTACAACACATTTTAAACAAAGCTGCCAGCTGAGTCTCTACGAATTTTAGTGTCTTCTTGTAGTCATAGACTTTCTAATGTACAATTTACATTAGAACAAATTCTAATGCACAATAGAACAATTTGTTCTCTAAATATTTGGTATAAAGTTTCCAAAGGCTTAACGGTGTCTCCCTACTATACAAATAAGTAACTTAAGAACAGCAATACTGAATAGGGCTTAAATAATTATGACATAACTGTATTTAAAAAAAAGTAACTTACAAAAATTGCATTATATATTGGCATTAAGGATGCACCAATGTTTCGGCATTTGCATTAAGAAAATGTTTCTTGTGTTGAATTTAGGGCTGTCCAGGTTAACGCAACAATAATCCATTAACACAGCACAATTAACACTGGTTTTATTTGACCCTATGAATCACCTGCAGCTCAAGCCAGGGTTGCCAGGTCCACGGTTTCCCTTCACAAAACATTATTTGTAAAGCGCCTCCAATCAAATTATCGCAACTAGCTTTGTGCTTTGTTACTTCTGATAACAAAGTCCCAGCTTTCAAATCCTGTACAT